AAAAAAAATTGAAATACACATTTACTTAATATACATATAAAATCTACCTGTTAAAATAAAAATAAAAAACTATTTTTGAAATAAAAACTTAGACAAATAAATATAAAAACGAAATATACCTTTTTTTAAATTAAATAAAAATTAATTTTAGAAAATAGACACAATTATTTCATTGAACACGTGCCTACCCCGTTAATTTATTTTAATCATGGATTTTGAGGTGGGCCAAGATACATTTTTATGAGGTGGGCTTTCATCTCTGTATCGAACATATTATGGCTATACCTGAATGGAGCTTCTTCCTGCACTTCATTGTTTTTTTTACACCTCCAAATTTTTCATTACTTTCCATTTTGTGTAAAAAAAATTGACAAAAATTATAAAATAAGATTATAAATTAAGATTCTTAAAGAGTTATTCATAGTGTGATGTACAAAAAATTTATAATATAAAGAGGATAAAAAAAAAACTAAGAAGGTAACTTTTGAGAGAGAAAAGAAAAGCTTGTTTTTGGTATCTCATAAAATGAAAGAGGTGTAAAAATGAATGTGTGATAAAAATGAAGTGGTGTGAAAACAATGGTCTAAAGACATTGGATTGTTATGAAACCATGAACTCACAAAGATTGAATTCTCACTAATTCCTATATAAGCATTTAACCTTTCTCCTCACCAAAACTTACTAATTCCTTTCTTCTTTCACTCTTTCGATATGGCCAAAGGAAATTCTCCTCTCGTCAGACCTACCTTCGCCGAGCGATGTTCTGATGGTACTTCTCACGTCTTTGCTTCTTCTTTACTATTAATTCAAATTTAAACTTTACTATTAATATCTAAACAGAGAGTGTGTTAGCCGGAGCAAAGGCAGCAGTTGTTGCATGTGTTGCCACCGCCATTCCAACTGTAACTATTCCCTTTCACTCACATATAGCTTTAATTAAATATTAATTATTTTATAAATTTAAATATTTTTTATTCTTTTATTTATATATTCACATCTTAAATTGGAATGCAACAATTATGATGATATTATGCAGTTGGCTAGTGTGAGGATGCTGCCATGGGCAAAAGCCAATCTCAATCACACAGCTCAAGCTCTCATAATCTCCACAGGTTTCGTTTATCATAATCACAACCACCACCGTTTTTTCTTACTAAAAATAATATATTAATTTTTTTCAAAAAAATATTCATTGCTAATTTCTTTCAAATCTTCTAATTTGTCAACCGAATCCCAATATTTTACAAACTGAAAATTATTTTAACCGTTATTTTTTTCTTTAGCGACGGCAGCGGCATATTTCATAGTAGCTGACAAGACAGTTTTAGCAACGGCAAGAAAGAACTCCTTCAACAAACCCTCCCATTCTCAACCATGAAATGTATTCCATTTTGGTAACATTATCCAAATGTGAACCCAATTGCACTTATTTCTCCTAATAAAGACTTTTAAATGTTCATATACCTTTTTCCTCACTAAGAATTTATATATGTACCACACTTTCGTTATATTATTTCTTTTCTGTCACTTATATATATAGTCAAATGTTTTATATATTTTTCGGGGTAAATGACCAATTAAATTTCTAAAAGTATAAAATATTTATTTTAGTCTTTAAATGTGTAAAAAGTTCCACAATTAAGTTCCCTAGTTAAATTCTACAAGTCTTTATAATCATTTATGATATTATTTTAGAGACCCAACACATTTTATATCATATGCATGTCTAACTCATTATCTAATGTTCTTATTAAAGCGTGGTATCCATCTACTTGCATAAAATATTATCAATTAGGTTTGTTGTAAACTTTTGGCATTGGCTGACGTTATTAGCCCCCAATTAAAGAAATTGGAAAATTGAAAATACAAAAGCAACGGCTATACTGTGTTCTAATTAGCGTCGCGGCACTTTGATTCTCAAAAAGTAATAATAAAATTGAAACTGATGCCCTTTGGAAATTGTGACAGTTTTATGATATAATAAGGAACATCATCACTGAATCTGGTGAGATAATTACGTATATCTTTTTTATAAACCATATCTTAATTTTAATACCGTTTCAGTTAGTTTAGTGTTCCAATTTATTCCAATACGCTAAAGAATTAAATTCTAAATCTAATTTGATGTATTTGAATACGTAAAAAAATCAATTTTAAATATAATTCAATTTTATAAAATTAGTTTGTAATACGATCAAATTTATTTGTACTTATTTATGTATTTTAATTATTAATTTAATAATTTTAAGTTTAATTCAATTTAATAAAACAAATTTATAATATAAGTTTCACAGTTATTTATATATTGTTCTTATTTGGAGTTTAGAATATGTTTTTGGATAGATGCCAAAATCTTGATGATATCATGATTCATAATAAACATGCACGGACTAAAAGATTTACATATAAAAGACTTTCTAATACTCAAGTTAGTAAGAAAATTTGAATCTTTTAAATAAAACAAAGAGTATGAGTGAATTGTGTATATTTTGGTGAAATACTATGTGTATTTATAAGGTTTTTGAACCCTATGATTTATGTGTAAAGAAAAAAAGTTAAAATTTTCGGATGGTCCTCACATTTGTATAAAAATCTCAATTCGGTTATCAAAGTTTTAAGTTGTCTCAATTGGGTCCTCATTTTTTAAAAAATGATATAAATTGGTCATTTTCGTTAGTAAACTGACAATGTCAACTCAATGTCACGTGTCAGTTTGTGATTTCTATTTTTTAATATTTTTTAAATTTTTTTATTTTTTTATTTAAAAAAAAATTTACCATGTGACAGAGACAGTGTGACGTGACAGACAATGACACTTTTCATGTGAAAAATCTTAATTTAATAATTTTATTTGTATTTGATTTCATTTTAGTTCTAATGTTTTTTCTAAATTGGAGCAATTGTATCCCTTTCCAAATTAAAACCAAACTTAACTTTTATATAGATGTATAATGATATCTTCATTAAAAATTGATATTTTTATTAAATAATTTTTATAATATTAAATTTATATTATACATTGAAGTTTATTTAAATTTTGTTTCAAATATTTATATATTAATAATTTCTATACTTAGAGTTGGTTTAAAAATAATAGTACTATAAATTCAAATATAAAATTTTAAAAAAATTGTATAACAAACTAAAATAAATATATTTAAAATTTAAAAACAAAATTTAAATAAAATTCAATGTAAAATATTAATTTAAATAAACTTAACCTTATTAAAAATATTAATAAAAATTTAAGTTTTATTAAAAATAACATTATAATAATTATAACATTTATTAGAGGTGACAAAACAGGTTAACCCAACCTGTATAAATAAAGTTCAATGTAAAATATAAATTTAAATATATTTAATACTGTTAAAAATATTTTTAATTAGATTAAGTTTATTTAAATTAATATTTTACAATCAATTTTATTTAAATTTTAAATATATTTATTCTAAATTATTATATCATTATAGATCTATATAGAAGATAAATTTGGTTTTAATTTGGAGAGGGATGAAATTGGTCCAATTAAAAAATATTAGGGTTAAAATGAGATCATATACAAATAAAATGACTAAATTCAGATTTTTCACATGATGTGTTACTGTCATTGTCACATTACATTGTCTCTGTCATGTCACATTGTCTCTATCACATGACATGATTCTCATTTGACAAATGGCAATTCTAAAAAAAATAGAAGAGAATTTAAAAAAAAGAACACAGACTAACATGTGGCATTGAGTTAACATCGTTAGTTTTGTATTAACGGAAATAATCAAATTGCATATTTTAAAAAATAAGGACCAAATTGAATTTACTTAAAACTTGATGACTGAATTGAGATTTAAGTACAAATACGAGGATCATCCGAGAATTTTAACCAAACAAATAATATTAAGATGATATTAAATAATATCAATAAATATAATCACTTATCGTTTATATGTCAAATTATTTTTTATTCACTTTCTAAAAATAATACGTATTGAAAGTGGATGAATGAACATCGTATCAATCAAGAGTATGAAAAAGGAGTTTTCGAGTTCTTACAATATGTTTAAGAACAGAGAAACTTTGTGAACGAAACATATTTTTATCTTTGTGTTTGTTGTCTTAATCAAATATGTCAAAACTTGGGCAACATGGGTGATCATATATTTATTTATGGTATAATGAGAAGTTATACAGTTTGGACTTAGCATGGAAAAGTACTACAAAGGCCTACAATGTCAAGAGGAACAAATTATGTGGACAAATGAATGACTGATCATTTAGAGGACATGGTATGCGATGTTGGTGAATAAAATTTTGGAAGAGCACATTTATATGATTATCTTAAGAACGATTCAAAGGAAGAGTTGTATTCAAAATGCTTCAACTTTACATGCCTATCGACAACTTTGAAATTATTTAGTTTAAAAGCAAGGAATGGATGGATCGATAAAAGTTTCACATAATTGTTGGAGTTTTTAAAAAGATGCTACCAAAAAATAACATGTTACCTATCTGTAATTAAGAGGTGAATAAAAATCTATGTCCAATGGGCTTGAAATACTATAAGATACATGCATGCCCCCAATGATTGTGTATTGTATAAAGATGAATATGGTTTATTGAAGGTTTGCCGAATATGTGGTTTACCACAGTCTAAGAAGAATGTTGATGGAAATAATGGTGATGAAGACAGTGATGGTCCACTTGCTAAGATGATGCGGTACTTTCCTATAATATATAGGTTGAAACGATTGTTTTCCACTAAAGAAGATGTGAAGAACCTTAAACAGCATGTTGATGAAATGTGTGTTAATCTTCTTCAACACCCAACTTATTCCCCACAATGGAAGAAGATAGATGAAACATTTCCAAAATTTGGTGCAAAGCCAATAAACTTAAGACTTCCACTTGCTACCGATAGTATGAATCCTTATGGGAACTTAAGTGGAAAACATAGTTCAAGGCAAGTTTTGTTGTTGATTTATAATTTATCTCCTTTGTTATGCATGAAGAGAAAATATATGATGTTGTCTATGATGATATCAGGTCCCAAACAACCTGGAAATGACATTAATGTGTATCTGAAACCGTTAATTAATGATTTGAAAATATTGTGGGAAGAGGGCGTTAAGGTCTTGGATTCATACTCTTAAGAAACTTTCCGTTTGCGTCCAATGTTGGTTTGCACCATAAATGATTTCCCTAATTTGGAGTTGCTGGATTGAAAGACTACTTTAGGTTTACACAAAGAAGTACAAAATCCTTAAGTTAGGAGGTGTTGAGGAAGTTGAAGCTCCAAATGAAACCAACGCATGATTGTTGTGGAGCAGCGCTTCATGGAACATCTCCAATAATAACAAGAAATACAAAGAGCATTTGAAGAAAGACTTCAGGGCATTACCCAGCAGAGCGACAATCTCTCCACTGAAGATTCAACAGGACGTCATATGAGCACAAAATGATCATGCTCTATCGTAGATCAAATTAACTACACTTGTCAGTACGAGTTATTGGTAGATGAAGATCCCCCGCACGTAATGGTCATAGGATGACAACTTCCAGAGGGCAAACTATTCATGGTGCTCCTCTATTACTCTACTACACACGTATGACAATTGATGTAGCCCGAGCCCCCATGCTCAAGTGCCTATGCCAACTTCTGAAATCCAATTTGTAGGGGAGGCCTTAGGTACATTTATAGTTTGGTCTAAAGCTTTGATTATGCCATATTGTGGCCCACCATAAGTATTATATTGTTATTCTTAGTATTTTTGTGTCAAAGTTAAAAATAAATTATTCATAACTTTTAAAATGTTTATTTTAGTTTTCTCGTCTGAGAAACAACCCATACGTGAACCTATGATCCATGAAGACCATGACATGGAAGAGGATGATTGTATCAAAGTTAAAAATAAATTATTCATAACTTTTAAAATGTTTATTTTAGTTTTCTCGTCTGAGAAACAACCCATACGTGAACCTATGATCCATGAAGACCATGACATGGAAGAGGATGATTGTATCAAAGTTAAAAATAAATTATTCATAACTTTTAAAATGTTTATTTTAGTTTTCTCATCCTGAGAAACAACCCATGCGTGAACCTATGATCCATGAAGATCATGACATGACAGAAGCAGAGGATGATCCTTTACCAAAGGTAATGACAAAATTATACAGGTTGAATAAAGGACCGGTAGAGCTGGAATGAGATTTAAGAGTATTTGACCTTTAGTGTCATGTGCCATTATATATTACTCTAAATAATGCACTAGAGGTCATTGGTGGAGAAAGGATGTTAAATATTTCAATCCTACAATCATGGTTCATATAAGATTTTTCATTGTCTTTCCTGTTTAAATATTCAAATTGTTACTTTTTCATAGATATACTTAACTTTCTTGTCATGGACACCGTCATTATGGACCAAGGTCTGGCATCCATGTATGAATTTTTTGAACCTCAAACCATTCAACCTTCTTGAAA